GTTCTATTCCGCCACTACCAAGGAAACTCCTGCCGAGGGATCTAAATATGAGGTTCCACTTTGGAATTCGATTGCATCTATGCCTAGGTACTACTCAATAGTTTTATCTGGTTGGTTCTGGTTTACTGTTTTGGAATTACTTAGGAGGCAAAACTGCGCATCTACAACATTATACCTAGCTTACTTAATACCAAAAGGAATATAAAACTTTCTGGGTGCATAAATGAGCATTAGATTAAGTTGATAATTGTAGTGTTCATTGGATATTAATTGTGAAATGTAACCGGGCCTAATTAGTCACAACTGCATGTTACGGCTGCCAGGCATTGAAAATCAAAGCGAAATGTTGCTGTACCAGGCGTAGACACAGGACTCTAGACCGCGCCGTACCACACGTGGCTGGATGTCAGAGTGATACTTTCTTGTATCCTAGTTTCAGCACCAAGTCCGAAAACGATCCTAGAGCTACCCTAACCCCAACCTCCCTAAAATTTACCTCATGCCAATTTTCATTTGCCCTACCGCGATAGGATTCGACAAAATATGGCATACATTTTAATAATTATTATGACAGTTACTGCTGCTGCTACTACTAGTGGTGGTAGTGGTATAAAGTTTAACACGGTCTCGCAATGTAGTACCATCGCTCCTAGAGTCTTAACAGCAAGCGCTTAAGGATGAAAACAACAAAGAAACAAACACACGCACCTTTTCCGGACGCTTGCTGACCTCCGCGATCCTCGAAATGGGCAGGGAAGAAGTATTACTGGCAAGGATAGTCTCTGGCGAGATGACGTCCTCCACCTCTCGGAGAACACGATGTTTCAGGGCCAGGTCCTCAAACACAGCCTCGATTACCATATCAGCCCGAGCAAGGTGGGCACTGTCCGTCACAAATTCCACAGAGGAGTAGATCTACAAGTGACCAAAACACTGTAGTGAAACAAGTATTACCCGTAGGTCTACATGCTATAAATTAGACATGTCAGCTCTCCCTGCGCCCCAACAAAGTCAGTCGGCACGCATGGCAATTCAGAAGACCTTCTGGCTGTGCTCAGCCGTTGCAAGCAGAAAGCAAAACAACAATTGGTCTTGTCTGATGTGTATATCATAAACGAAAGACGTCTGTTCTGGCGTCAGATGGACTGCCCACCTTAAGGCTGGTGTTTTGTGGCAGGCGAATCAGTACGCATGTGACACTCATGGGACTGAACCTAAGCTCCTCGACAGTCACTGTCCTCATACTCCTCGTCCAGTGTAGTATAGGTCATGAATGGGGAGAGGGCTAAGGAGTGAGATCTATGGTTCGCACTTCGTCCGTACTGTAATTAAAGCCAGGCACGGGATACAACTATCGAATAATAAAATTTCTGCATGCGGCTCTCTCGGGTGGGCTGTCTCTTGGCCTGGAGACTATTTCTCTTCTCGCGCCCAATTCGTTCAGTTCTCCAAGGGCCTATGTTGTCTCCTCACATCTTCTACCTCCACACTCCATTCCTAGCACGCCCCCTCACGTGTGAAGAAACGGAAATGGAGAAGTTGAAAGCCGACCTGTCTCCATAACAGATGTGGCTATCGTATAAACCCTTCACCTTGAGTATTCTATGAACTTGTACCTTACGTTATTCCTTGCCATTTCTTGCTGACAATTTTGGATATTACCTTCAAAATAAAGTATTCTTCTTTCTCTTAATGCTGGGTCTCTGCGTGCTCTGTCCAGAAACAAAAGAAAGATGTTAAGGGAAAACTGTTACAAATGCCTGAATATGCTCCGTCTCCAAGACAGGAACAAGTTTAAGGCACCGCAAGTATGGAACGATTAAGATGAAGAGCAGGGAGTGATTATGCTGTCACTGCTTGTTGATATCGTCTGCCTTAAGGGCGGTCTGATGTAGGATGTCAGTTTTACACCCTGGACCGCCTAGACAAACGGAACTAAAACCGGTCTTGTGCTGTCAAAACCTGGTTTTGGTAAATAGAAATCAGACTACCACTTTCATTT